ATTTTATTCATAGGTTTTAAATATTTTATATTTGATTAAAGAAAGAATTTATATAAAATATTAATATAAAAAATTAAATATATAAATGTTTAATTATAGCTTATTTGTAAAATATTAAAGAATGGATAGAAAGCAATCTTTTACAGAGAAATTTAAATACCTAATCTCTTAAAAAAATAATTTAAATATTATGCATTACAAAAAATTTATATCATTTTATATAAATCTTAAAAATTACTAATTTAAGTTAAAAGTTTCTAAAATCAAATTATATAATAAATTAAAATGTACAAATTTATGATAATATTTATACTAAAGTAGAAAAATGTATTTTTTTGGAATACAATACGAATATAAATAATTCATTTACAGAGCATTTCCTTTTTATATGAATATTTATTATTTTAAAGTTACTATTTTTCAATTATATATTTGCCATAATTAATTTAACACTACAAAAAAATTTTAATCATTTTATAACAAGACAATTTTAGGTTACAAAATTTTATTTCCGTTTCTAAAAACTATTTATGCTGATATAAGATATTATTTTAGATTTTACTAAAATGAAACATCAAGAATTATAAAAAAATCAAATCTACAACGTATACACTATCAACGAAAAAAGCGACCACTTAATAAAATCGTTTTTTTACAATAAAGTAAATTATTATGTTTCTATAAAACTAAGGCATATTGTATTAGTATAAACTACAAAAAAAAATTTTTTCGGCTTAGGATCTGAAAATTGTAACAAAAAAATACGATATATTTAAATAGAAGAAAAGGAAAATAAAAAAGCATCCCTTTTTATTTAATATCCAGTATGACGACTTTGGAACTTAAAACTAGTTCAATCCTTTTTGCATTGAGTAAACAAGTTTTCTACTTGGCACTTTTGATATTCATTTTACTTTTCCAGGATTTTGATTTTTAATTCACTTATATTTTTTATTAAATATTTCTTTAAATTTCTTTTCATATAATCCCAAAAATTCTCAATAGGGTTTAAATCTGGAGATTGGGAAGGCCATTTAAGCATTTTATTATTGATTTCATAAAAAAAAATCTACTGTTTTTTAGAAGTATGTTTAGGGCAATTATCTTGTTGAAAGGTAAAATTGTTTTTATAACTGTGGTATGCCAGGAACACTTTTTCTTGTAAGTGTCTGAGGTATAGGGCTTTAGATTCCTTCCCTATACCTTTGGGCGGATAAATATTTTTTAGTGATATTAGAGTTTTAGGGAACCACAATTAATATAATTCTTCCTATTTATATTTCCCATGCATTTTGGCATGAAATAACAATGTTGGTATTTTGTAACAATATCCTAAACTTTTGTGGAAGAATAAACACATGTTGCTAATATACGTTTATACACAATGGAATCCATTATACCGTCAATAAAAACCAACTCAATTATATTTTTAGACGAGATAAAACTCCATACTAACAACCACTTTCCACTGTGCTTGACTGTCGGCACAGAATTTACAATTTTGAGATCTTCTGTGATTTCCTATAATCTAAAATGGTCTATCAGAATTATAAAGGTCTTTTTGTTTTAGACTAAAAATAACCTCGTCCCACTTCCTTAAAGTCCAATTGCCCCATGGTTAGTTGAGTATAATCTGTTGTTGTGCTTCTTTTTCTTAATGATTAAAGAGAAAACTTTTTAGCAACTTTTCTGTTATAATTATAGAAATTAAGTGCATTTTAAATATTTTTAGTGATAAGTTTTTATTTGATTTTTCTAGTAGAATTTCGCCCGGTCTTAGGGCAGAAATGTTTGGGATCTTTCAAATTCTGATTCTAAAATGCTTTTATCTTCGTCATCGAAAGAAAAATTTCTTCCTGAACCTCTTAATCTTAAAATATATCCTATCAAAACATATTTTTATACATTTTTTTTCATTAACTTTTGATTTCCCGCTTTCAATGCAATTTTTCCTTGCGAAAATTTAGGTTCAAAAAGTGCAAATATTTAGCTCTCGTAGACTCTTCAACAGATTTACCAATAATAAGGGCGACAAAAAAACACATATT